ACAAATAATTATAGTAGAGATGACAGCTGAAGAGTTGCAGTAGAAAACAAAACCCTGATACTTCACTTATTTCATTTTAAAGGTAACGTGGCACCTTTGATAACAAGAAACAATATAGATGGAAGTCCTAATATTTTGTTTAAATAAACCTTACTGATTTAACCGTCCTAAAACTCCGTCGATAAGCAATCACCAGATATCAGACATTAATCCAACAAAAGAGGGAGTTGATAAAACATACAAGGAATGAAACTACACCTAGACTAAAATAATTTAAGGCTAGGGTAGCGAAAAATACTGTACGTAATTGTTTTGCATACAAACGTCAGACTTCATTTCATGCATAGGTAGGACCTCTGCTGTTTTCAGAAGTTGAAGATGACGTAAACGTAAGATGTTTGAACGAATTCGATGGAGAACCCTAAAGTCATTGCTTCAGTCCGTTGATTGGTTGGTAATGTACTACATGTTCAAGTATAGAACTTCTAATGGATTCCTTTTCATCCTTATAAAAGCCAGACTAGGATATGTCCTGGCATACCTGTCAACAGCAATCTCAGACTACGGTCGATGTACCTTTCTCCACAGAAGCAGGCGAACTGGTAGATACACATGGAGACGGCCTGTGAAGCAATATTGTCTTTTACGTAAATGGAGAATAATTTACCACTAGTGAAGTTCAAATGAAGTTTGGCTGAGAAAAAAATTTCTACTAATTGATCTCGAAAGACGATTTTTAAGGATGTCTGATACTTCATCACCTTTGAATTCCAGATTCATGAACAAAATATCTTTAGAAACTGAGCTGATGACTAATTTCGCATGTCTTTCTAGCATATTCTTATCAAGAAATCGGGTAGGATATTGTTTTCCACAACTTGTATATAGTTTGTGCTACAAATATTACGTAATTGATAGCACAGTGATTGAATGAGGTTTCTTTTCTTTATGATCGGCACTCAACTATAGAAATTAATAAGCTGTTCGTTCCACGTGAGTGTTTTTGTAGATGGGAATTTTCAGTGTTCCATTACTACGTCTAATAATCGGAAAGTCAAGGAAAGGAATTCCAAAGTTAAACAACGACTGTTGAACTCATGTACGATGTTATCCAGATGGATACTTGATTCAATGAACAGTTCATCCAAAACTCTTATTTAACATTTTCCAACTTTAGTAAAGAAAATGGTACTTCGTATAAGTGTAATAAATTCATTTAACATTTCTTCTAAGCATAAAAATACAACTTCCAATATACCAGTGAATGAAATACATAGTTATGTAATATTCACACTGACAATAGATATTTTCTAACTAAATAAAAATAAATCGATTCAGTGGTAAAGTTCATTATATATAGGCTGGTTTCATTTAGACACCATTGAATAAATTACCCTAATGAACTGTATCTGTGGTTCACATTCAGGAGTATTAACAATAAAGATAGTCACATCTTTATAGAAAAAAAAAATATTCTTTTTAACAATAGTTTTAGCCTGTTTAAGAAATCTCTATATTCTCACCAATATTTAGTATTCCAACAGATTAACATTATTCCGAAAAGGAATAATCATAGTATCTTAAAATGGTAATAATAAGCAATCTTATATGGTAAAGAACTCTTGATAGTTTCCTGATAAGTCTTTATGTAAGCTGTTTCTTTGAAAGTGAATGGTGGCTTGCTTACTGAAGAAGCATATGGATCAGCAGTTTGTGCTAGTTATTTCATTAATAATTAACCTTATTGTTATGATGTTTGTTTCGAATACAATTGATCGATTAAAAAACTCTTTGAAAAAAATATGTCACCTCAAATAAATACACTTTAAGAAAGTAGTTGAATAAATTCAACAACTTAATATAATTTTTATTATTTGTCCCTTGGATTCCTAAGGGAACATACGGCTTCACTAGCACGTCTCCACTACACACCCTTCTCTGAAATCCTTTCAACCTGGCTCCACGACAGCCCACAAACTCTCATTTCCTCCTCTCACGATCTCCTCCATGTCACCCTAGTCTCCGATGCCCAACTCGTCACTTCCCATCTGGGTTCCACTCAACGGCCTGGCCTGTCGCCTGATGTCCTCGAATGGTCTTCTCAGTGCAAGCTCATTCCATCTCCACTTCCTTCCACTGCATATTTCTTCAGCGATAGGTTCTTGTTTGGTTCGTTGACAGCCACAATGAGTTCCTTGTTGCTTATTCTTATTATTCTGGCCATCTGATCTTTAGTAAGGAGCCAGCGTAGGCAGTTGTTGATGAATGTTTGTAGTTTGTTGGAAATGCTTTTCGTGACACGCCAAGTTTCTGACTTATATAGAAGCACTGACTTGACGTTGGTGCTGAAAATCTGGATCTTGTTCCACATGCTGAGTGCAGAAGATCTCCACACTGGTTTTAGGTTAATGAAGACCTGTCTTGCTTTTCCAATCCTGGTTTTGACATCCTTGTGTGTGCCACCTGTAGTTGAAACAGTGCAGCCTAGATAGGTGAAAGAGGCTACTTTCTCTAAGTTCCTCCCATTGATGGTGATTGGAGCTTGTTGTTGTTGTTGGTGGTGGTGTTGGTTGGGTATCTTTATCACCTCTGTCTCCTCTACATTCACTTGAAGTCCCGTCTTCGCTGCCCTGCATCACCTCTTCTGTCAACTTGTAAGTTTTCCCCTGTAGATCTTTGAGTTTGTGTGACATTAGACACAAGTCATCGGTGAAATCCAAATCTTACAGGTTCTTTACCGTTGTCCAGTGTGTCCCCCTCTTCTGGCTCGTCACTGTTTGTTGCATGATCCAGTCCACTACAATCAGGAAGATGATTGGTGATGGTAGACAGCCTTGTTTCACTCCTGTCTAGACTGCGAAAACATCACTGAGCTTCCCATTGTGAATTACTTGGTATGTGGTGTCTTCACATAGTTTTTGAATGAGATTGATAAATGTTTGTGGTATTCCGGTATTATTTAATGCAACTTATTCCATTGAAGATTTGAGCAGCTAGACAGTTTTGTCGAGGAATAAAGTGAAAAATCTAACATGATCAGTACATTTGGTTGCTGATTAATCACTTGTATTCATATATTTCAGTTGCTTAGATAGATATAGTCAGATTTGTTTATTACAACTGTTGAGTTGCCTTTATCCAATTCGCCAATTACTATATTGTGATCATTTTGAAGATTCCTGAGAGCTTTTCTTTCTAGCTTGGACAAGTTGGATTTCATTTTCTTGTGTCATTTCAGTGTTAGAATACACTGCGCTTTTACCTCATCTACAATTTTCTCATCTATTGAACTTAACGCTATTCCAAATTTTGGCAATGATATCTTCTGGTTTCTATTCATTAACCGATACATTGAAGTTAAGGCCTTTTCTCTAGCACTTATATCTCTGTTGAGCTTAGGACTCTAGTTGAGAGATAGACAACCCACTTTTATTTATCGATCATTGGTGATGTACTACGGTTAATTTCATTATTGTTGATTGGCATAATTTTCTTCCATAACTTTGCTAAACTTCTTAATCTGAATATTTTTGGATTTCTTGAATGTAAACAATCTTGCTTTATTGGAACTGTCCATCAGAAGCTCATGATCTAACAGATGTACTCTTTGTACAATATTTCAAAAAGAATAATTATAGTATCTTAATAGAAATGGTAATAAAAGTATGATGTAACAGAGAACTCTTGATGGTTTCCTGTCAAGCCTTTATGTACGACAATGACAGTTTTATAAATAACTAAATATTTAAAAAAAAGTTTCTTCAGACTTCATTATCAATCAGCTATGAGTAAGTATTTCATTGCGTCCATTTCTCTCGATGCCTTTACTCAAATTACAAACTGAAGTGTATTCTCATTAAGAAGTAATGCCTATTAATAATTTTCACATAGCATGTAAGATGATCAGAAAGAAGAAGCAACGAAGGACATTGGCTGGACCCACAGTGAACCAACCAACCAACCAACAACTTATCACCCAATAAATATGCAGCAGATGAAAGTGGATTGAATTGGATTGGACATACAGTGGGAAGATGATTTGTGGACATCACACTCCAGACCAAGCGGTTGAGTGGAATCTGGATGGGAGATGATGAGTTGGGCATGTGAGTCGAGGGTGACATGGAGGAGATGGTGTGAGGAAGAGATGAAAGCTTGTAGGGAGTGGTGGGACGAGGTTGGAGCGGCTGCAGAGAAGAGAGTGAGATGGTTGAATGCTGATGAATCCCTATGTTCCACTAGGAACCCATGGGACAAACAATAATAATATTATAGTAATGTAACCGTTCTGTACCGTTAATGATATATATATATATATATATATATATATATATATATATATATATATATATATATATATATAGTATGAATTCCTGTTTTATACAATGCCAAATGATACTACCAAGTAGATAAATATATGACAAAATGAATCTATTGAATACAGTAATACTGCTACCACGTTCATCATGGGTAAGAATACACGTAGGAGGTAATGATTATGTACTAAAATGTTGTTATGAGCATTTCACATCAAAATGGCAGAGAGAATGAGTTGATTTCACTACATGGAATTCTTATCTAGATGATAACGTAGAAAATAAGTATTGTTCCACCTGTAAATACATTATACATCCTTTTGTCGATATCCCCGTGTAAAGTGTCAAGCTCTATATAGAATAAATCATTTCCAAGTAGCTTTGTTTTTATATCCTTTTTTGGCACTTAATGTCAGTTCAAAGAGTACTTCCTACATAGGACAGTGAATTACAGGTGTATATAATAGAGTATACAGACAACAGAAATAGAACAACAATAAAACATGCTGTAGTATGTCAGCTGAACAATTGGTTTACTCAAATATGCATACACCTCTAGTGTTAACTGCTTCTATCCCCTCTCTCTCCCTCTCCTTAGTCTATGCATTCTTGATGATACAGTACGATTGGTGAATATAACCAATAAAACTTATCCCACTTCCTCTTCAGTATAAATACTCGTGATAACAATTTAGCATAAAAATACAACTACTTGTTAGTAGTATACGAGAAAATAGAAAATTATTTGGTTCGGTGATTGAAGAACACAGCACATATTCGTATAGTTTGAAATACATAACAGTCATGCAGTGGTTAACACTACTAACCTTTACATACCTGGTATATTCAATGAATTGGACACTTTGTGAATCGGTCGACTGGACGGATACACTTTACGATGATGATTATGAAGGTATGTTGACAAAAGGAATGTGTAGTGAAATAATTTCACATGTTATTGCTTGTATTGATGGGAGCAGGATCTCTAACTGCGGTACTTGTGTATTCAGCCGATGAGTCCCAAATAGGACGAAGCGCGCGTCCTGGATTTCACTACTAAAACTTTTCTTATCTCGAGGCAATTTATTATTGTCATAAATGTGTATCAGATGATGTTTTGGCCTATTTTATAATTTTTAAGTAGCATAATAATATATTTCTTGACACTTACCTTCAAGTATAATAGGTAAAACAATAGCTATGGGACATGAGAATGCCTCAGGAGGCTAGGACTTCTGAGTGAGAACTCTGGAGTCCGTTGAAATGTTCACCAGTACCATTCGTAGCAAATTAGTACCTGAATACCAACCGAATAAATATCATTATTAAGAAATGACTGGTAGGCTGTAAGTGTTCATGTTTTTCTAAAGCGGGTGAGAGGCTGATCTTATTCAACAGATGAATATTACGCTATTTATGATTTAAAATTTTATTTTCTGTCACGATACTCACAGTTATTTAAATATTTAGTTAACTTCTGTTTCTTGTAAAAATCTTTTACATCCTTTACATCGTTTTACATGTTGATCATGCTTCTCAACTTCAACTGACATAATAAAGGCTATTGGATGCATAAGTGTCGACATGAGTTAATTTCTAGTTGCTGTATGCCGTGAACTGACAAAAGCTGTCTCTGTAGTAACGTGGTAGCCACGGAACCTGAGGATTCTGGTCCCAATCTCCAGGTTTCCGGTGTTCCTCCAACTGATGTAAGTCCACGATGAATCATCATTATTTGTTCTTTAGGTTCCTAGTGGAACATAGGGATTCATTAGCACTCCACCATTTCACTCTCTTCTCTGCAGCCGCTCCAACCTCGTCCCACCACTCCCTACAAGCTTTCATCTCTTCCTCACACCATCTCCTCCATGTCACCCTCGACTCACATGCCCAACTCATCATCTCCCATCCAGATTCCACTCAACCGCTTGGTCTGGAGTGTGATGTCCACAAATCATCTTCCCACTGTATGTCCAATCCAATCCAATCCAATTCAATCCACTTTCATCTGCTGCATATTTATTGGGTGATAAGTTGTTGGTTGGTTGGTTGGTTGATTGGTTGGTTGGTTAATTCGTTGTGGGGCCAGCCAGAGTTCCTTCTTGCTCATTTTTACTATCATCACCATCTGATATCCATCTTCAGTATCGAGTGAGTGTAGGTGGTAGGTGTTGTTGGTGTATGTTTGCAGTTTGTTGGAAATACTTTTGGTAACGTGTCAAGTCTGTGAAGCATCACATGGAATCACTGACTGACTTGACTGACATTAATTAGTGTTGAGAATTGGGGTGTTGTTTACGCTTTATGGTGAGTGGATTGGATTGGATTGGAGTGGAGTAGATCTGCACACTGATCTCAGATTAATGCATGAAGTTGTGTCTTGCTATTTTTCTGATGCTGGCTTTGACGTGGTTATCTGTGTTTGTGCCACGTGTAGTTGAGACGATGCTGCCTAGATCGATAGGTAGGTAGGTAGATAAGTAGGTGAATGAGACGACTTTCTGTCAATCCCTGCCGTTCATGGTAATGAGTGTTTGTTGTTGTTGTTGTTATTTGGATATCGTCATCACCTCTGTCTTCTCTACGGTCACATGAAGGATGTCTTGTCTTCGTTCGCTGGCTTGTGTCTCCTGTCAGCTTGTTTGTTTTTGCCTGTAGATCTTCGAGTTTGTGCTAGAAGACATTAGACATGAATCATCATCGTTGGCGAAATCCAAATCTTCTGGGATCTTTTCGTGTCCATTATGAATCCTAACTTTTATCTTTGGGGAATTTTGAATGCGGGAAGAAATTTCCGTTTTGTGGTTAGCAACAACATTTCAAGCTTGTTTGAGTTCCATATAGTCATCGATGGGTTACTTGACGAAGACTTTTTTTAAGGTTTAAATGAGCTAATTCCACTTCCGATGAAAACTCTGTGCTAATGGGTAGGATTTGTTATAGTAGTTGTAATTACTCATGTACACACCGTTGCAGTGAACATGTTGCCTTATACCTTTATAAGTCGAAAGTGGTACAATATATTCATTGTCTAGATCTCATTTGCCGACTGAAATACTATAACACTATAAACATTTACACTTGTTTCTCTCCTGTCTTGAAAAAGGGACCCTTAGCACACTTTACCGTGTAATCATAGAACATGGGATGAAAGCTGCATTTTTTTACTGCTCATCAAAGATTTTCTTTAGACATGTCGAAGGAATTCAAACTCAAAAGTTTAAAGTCTAGTGGACAGAGAGAGGGAGAGAGAGAGAGAAACAGAAGGATTCTATAGCCTATGGACTTCTGAAATCCACTGACTTAATCTATAAAATCTTGGTAATAGTCACAGTTTGCACGTAACTAAAAAATAAGCGGATGCCAAGTGCAGAACACGGTGGACAGTTGTGATAGATCGGTAATTGACAAAAGTAGGAAACTGTGGACTATTGAACTCTGAATTAGTGGCTGAGCGATTGGCTTATTCGCTGTGAAACCTTGAAGTCCTGAAATCCATCTCTGGTGGGGTGATAAGTGCATACTGGTGAGAATTCCCCCAGTAGGAAGAAACAGCTGTCCGGTGCTATCTAGAGTTCCCCAACTGTTGTCAGTCGCTGATGAATACTATTCTAAAAATAAACAATGTTCTAACCCATCAGCTAACTTTCTACACCAAAAGCAAACAAAGACACAGGTTGTTCAAATTTGATTGTGTAACACAAACACTTCCCTTTTTTTCATGATTAGAAATGACATTGCATTGGAGGAATATTGAGGTGGAAAAGTTTCATACTTGAATGTGAGTTTGACATTAGTTACTTCTTGATCAATACAATCATGGGAGCCAATAACACAGGATGTGATACATCATGAAATCTATTCCTGCTTGTTCCGTATAAGTATAGATTGAAATACTATTTTAACGATGCTGAATGTGTCTTAAGTTCATATTTATTTTTAGTTGACGCCATAGAGAAAGCTTTTAGGAGATTGAGTGAACTGGCTAACTACTCCATTTTACCAGTTAGTATTCCTCATAGACACTGGAAACCTGGGAGCACTGGGCAGGTGTTCTGTCATAGTATGGAACTCTTGAAGAGGTGATTCCCGAAGTTCCAGTAAGAAGTAGTGACCAGTGGGCAAACCTGGTGGCTGTGAGGATAAATACTCTACGATGACATTGGGTGGCAGTTGCGCTATGTCATGAACTGATAGAAGTTGGAGATATGGACCAATGAATTCCGATGCAGTGGCTCAATGGTAACGTGGTGACCACAGAACCTGAGTGCCATGGATGCGCTCTACTGAACAGTCCCATAGCATGAAGAAACAACTGTCCAGTGCTCCGAGGTTTTCAATGTTCTTCCAACTAATATCACTCCATGATGAATACCAACCTGAAAAATCATTAAATCCCCACATATCTTCAAACTCAAATGCTCCATTTTAGTCTGAGGCTGACTAGTAGTGATCTAGTAGACTACGGCGGCCTGCTTGAATCTTTCGCTACCAAATTTATCCATCAAACATTTTCCATCGAATTCCTTCCTTCGGATTTGTTTTAGTCGTCTGAATATCTCTTTTTAACGTATCATGTACTCTTGCACATTTTAAAACTGTTTCCAACTTTCCGTTTCTTAAGTCAATAACAAAGCAGAGAAAAATATATTAGGTTATATGGAAATGGTCTATAAAAGCAAAATCATATTTCTATCCTTCAGGGGGTTAGCTTAAGTTGCAGATTTTGTATCGTCTGAATAAACCGAAACCACCAAAATTATGCTTGTATTTCGGTTGATTCTTCATTATGGACTGGATACCTATCCAGAACCAGCTGGCTATTTCACCTTATTGCCTTGAATACTGTCATGATTAACACCATTCCAATGTAATAACCATTTCGTCTGGAAGTATTGTTCTGGGAGTGAATTTGTTGAAAAATTATATGTTGAGAATTCCATACTGTTATACATATTGTTTGGAATAAAGCGATTATTATTAAGAAATATTCAGGTAATATATCCAGTAATGTTAACATTTTTACACACTGGAATGAATCCATCCATTTTCTTAAATTTATGCTAGTTTTACCATATAAAACATAAATGTGCTACGGTAAAAGAATAGTATATTCCCAAAAGGATCACTTGGGAGAAAAATGTATCCACTTGACAAGTTCCTCATCTAGTAGAAACGATTTATAGCAGACTATTCTATAGTTACTTCCTCAAGTGAATTGAAAACCCGTAATTCCTTTAAAGAAGGATTGACAAGATTTCACTTAGCTGTAAATAATGAACTTTTAATTCCAAATCTAGCTTTTCAAGATTTACCTGTTCATCAGGAGTGACCTTAAAGGCCACTCTAGCAACTGATGAAGTAACCAATTACGTTTCTCTATTTTACGAGGAATTATCTTCTCAGTCAAAATACCGCAGCCTGATTGGTTATATTGACAGTTGTTAAGGTGACCTTTAAACTCGCCCATTCATTAGCAAAACATATTAGACTTCCGAAATATTGTTACCATGGGACTAGGCTGCATACTGATGAAAGTTTTAGTTTGTTAAGAAACGGAATTCTGAAAGTTAAGCTACACACTGATTTATCTTTCAATCATTATACTTGTTTGACATCAATATTAAAAGTTGGAGTAACTGCTTGTAATAAGACACTGGCATAATAACGATACTGAACCCAACCAGAAACTTGAAATGAACTCGTTAATGACTATTCATTTGACCACACTTATATCCCAAGAAAAACCTCCTTTGACTGAAAAGTTGCCTTTATCCAACAAAGCCATATCATATGTATATATATTTACCAAAAACATGAAAACACTCAAGGTCAAAGATAAGATATTTCATCCTGATTGGTTCCCTTAAGTGTTAACTTGTCTAGTAGATCATAGTTTAAAGCATAAACTTT